TGTCGAAACGTTGTACATTTGCGGTTGTATTAAAGTTTTTCTTCATTACCCATTCAAGCCGTCTCCAGCCATTATTGTATTGCTTTTTTGCTGTGAAGTCAGCTCTTGTGCCAAGTTTATATTATCTGGCAGAATGAAAATTAAGAAACAAATAATTTCAATTCCTTCTTGACCATTTTATTGATGAATCTGTTTACTGGGTACTTTAAATAGATTTTTTATTTCACATGGCTCAGGCCACATTATCAAAGTAGTCTTTATAGGCTCAGTTTATGGAGAGAGAACTATTGAGAACCACATGTTAACACTATTTAGACCTTTCTATATTATCCAGACTTGGCTGTGATATTTTTCAAAAGTATTTAGTATTTGAGGTTTTATTTACTTAATTATCAAGCAGTTCAATCGTTCAACAACATCCATGTCACAACTTCTTAAGAAAAAATATATTTAAAGTACTAAAACACATCATTAAACAAAACGGTACCTTCAGTATTAAGGCAGTTTATGAAATGTATCATTACTTTTAGTAAATGTTATCTTATTCTAAATTATTTAAAGCTCCTGAACATTCACATAAACATACAGCTGCCACCAAAATAAATTATAGTACCATATAATTTGTATACCTTTAGTACCATCTAGAAATAAACACAAAAAATAGTTCATAAGTCATATGTCCACAACTTTGTTTCTTCTACACCTGGACCAACCTCTTTGTTCAGCAAAATATATATGTATATATGTTTTCAATTTCTATTATTTCTCTGCTACTTAGTTCACATTTCAACTCCACCTGATTTATCAGTTTAACATTATTCCAGTATATAACACAAGATGTGCTTGCCACGTTCTGCTTTGACTGACTCATTTACTTTATATTTTTCTACTGCATTTTTATGTTCCTTGATCCTAAATTTCACATTTCTGCACATGTGATCAATGTAAGCTCAACTACAGACACAAGGAATTTTATCAATCCCACACTTATCAACTTATTCTACTTTATTTTTTAACTTAAATTAAATTACAATGCAAAGAGAATGTTACACTATAATCTGTATATTTTTTAACTATGTTACCTACTTTTGTTGACAGCCTTTGAACATATAGCAAGCAAACACTCATGTTATCAACTATATCCTTTTCTTTTAACTTTGTATATAATTTATAATTTATTGCTATGTCACGATCATCAGTGCAGATTTTTAAAGCTAGATAGTTCTTGTGGCCATGGACAACATGATCTGTTGTGTGGTGGAATGGCCACAGAAAATGTTTTTCTATAAACCTACATTGAGAGAAACCCATTATTCCATTTAACTGTTGTCTAGGATATTCAACTGATCTTTATTTTCAAATCTCCACTGTAAATCAAATAGTAGGACTAATTGAGATGAAAGGTTATTCAAACTGCATTAACATGTCAATGTCATTCTGCCACACCAAAAATGTGTCATATACATACCTTAACCATGCTACAGGTCTTACCTCAGAAGTATTACACATATTCATTTTGAATTTAAACATAAACAGCTTGCATAAAAGGGGGAACCCATTGCTAAGCCTTTAATCTGTTTAAAGAATTTATTTCCTACTTTGACACACACTCATGGGTCACAATCAAGATTTCACTCACTTCTAACAGAAAAGATTTATTGATTTCTAATAATCTATTTTCAAGACAGCCAAATGCTTCTTCAACTGGAAAACTGATAAACAATGACACAGTGACAAACGAGGCTAATTTATCAGTTGTTTCCAAATTTATCCCTGCAATTTTGTGAACAACATCAGATGAATATTTTAGTGTGCTTATGAGAGTTAATTAAAAACAAACATTTTTGACAAATTTTGCCAAAAACTGGAATGATGAACTCCTATTATCTGTAACTGGATAAATCAAAGTGCCCATTTTATGGATATCAGGTAGTTCAAAATATCTGGGTAAAATCTATCTTGAGGATATGAAATCCTTTTTTTCTTTCAGTGTCAAAGTAGCAAAGTTTTCAACCTATTATGAACCAAAGTAGGTGGGTCCTTTTTTACTTGTTTATAACAATCATCCCCTAACAATTCTTTATTTTTGTTCTCATAAGCTTTTATTCAAAATTACAACATGTGCTCATTGAGGTGGCAAGGACTACAATGCTCACTGTGATAATTGTAGTGCTTCCCACCCCTCTTACTATAGATCTTGCCCTAAGTGGGTGGAGGAGAAAGAAGTACAGCATTTAAAGACTATTAACAACATTTCTTACCCTGAGGTTTGGAAGCTATTGTTCCCTACTCCATCTTGGACATATCCCACTGCAGTACACTCTACTACACTCTACTGGGAGTGCAGACGGACTTTTCCTGCCTCCATCTGAGTTTTTCATGCCATGTGAGGTGTCTTCTGCCCTCCATGGACAACAAAATTGACCAGTCTATGCCTACTCCAATCTCTGTCCCCACTATTCCTTCCAGTGACTGGCTGGGTCCACTTCCTCGAGCACCAGCCTCTGGTGTTCACTTGGGTTCTTCTTTGGCCCATAGATGCAGAATGATCATTCGATCACATCCTTAGTCGTTGGATTCCCAGTCTGATGACAGAGATCTGCCCGGTCGATCAAGGTCAGAATCCATGGAGATCGATTGACCTTCTTCTAGTAAAGAAAAATGGTGTGGTCATAAACCGAAGGGTTCTCCACCCTGTTCTCCTCCACCTACATAAAAATGGCTACTTTGATACAGTGGAACTGTCGAGGTTTTCATTCTAATCTTGATGATATTAAGGCCTTGATCGACTTCTATCATCCCGTATGTCTCTCCTTACAGGAAACATTTCTGAAACCTGCCAATATAGTTACCTTTCAGCAGTTTTCTTTGTACCGGAATGACAGGTTGTGTAATGGATGAGTGCATGGAGGGTTGAAAATGCTAGTTGACCACCATGTGCCCTCCTTTTCTGTGTCCCTCAATACACCCTTGGAGGGCATAGCCATCCATGTTTCCTTGGGTTGTACCATCAATGTTTGTTCTCTCTAACTGTTTCCTGGGAGATTTATGATCAATTGGACCTTGATGCTCTCATTGACCAGTTGCCATCTCCCTTTTTAATTCTGGGAGACTTTAATGGACACAACCTCCTCTGAGGTGGTGCTGATATTGATGGGAGGGGTCGTTCTGTAGAGCATATGCTCTCAGGTCACAACCTTTCTCTCTTCAATACTGGATCTTAGTCAGTCTTTTACTGCTATTGATCTCTCGATCTGCTCCGCTTCACTTTTCTTCCATTTTTCATTGATGGTTGACAGTGACCCATGTGGCAGTGATCATTTTCCTATAGTTTTGAGAGAGGTGGCCATGGTCGATGCCACCCGACCTGGTGGAAATTGGACCAGGCTGACTGGCCCTCTTTCACCTCTCTCTCCAAACTTGATCCTGCCATTGTCTGTCTGCCATCAACAGACGACTGTGTGGTTGCAGTGACTAACTGTATTGTCCAGGCAGCTGCTCACTTTATTCCTAAGACCTCAACACGTTTTCCATGGTATACTGTTTCATGGTGGAATCCTGCCTGCCAGGAGGCACAGAAGGCTCAAAAACAGGCCTGGGATATCTTCCAATGGTATCCTTCTCTTTCTAGCTGCATTGTTTATCAGCGGGCTCATGCTCAAGCTCGGCAGGTTCAACATCAAAGCCAAAAGGAGTCTTGGATTAAGTTCACTACTAGCATCTCTTCTACCACCAGTTCCAAAACCGCATGAGCAAAATTCGGAAAGTCACTAGGAGTTATGCTTCCCATCCCCTTTCCATCTTGCTCTCCAATAGCCAGGAAGTTGCTGATGTCCAGAGCATTGCTGATGCTCTTGGCCACAGCTTTTCTCGTGCATCTAGCACTTCTGTTTCTTCCCATGCCTTCTTGGCCATCAAGTCTCGGGCAGAGCAATTACCTCTTTCCTTTCAGGCCGATCGTCACTATGACTATAATCGCCCCTTTACACTGGTGGAACTCAAACTTGCTTTTCATCAGTCTGGTAGTACATTGGTTGGACCTGATGATGTTCATTATGAGATGCTGTGCCATCTCTCTCCTGCCTCTCTTGCTATTCTTCTGGATATCTTTAACCGGATCTGGCAGGAGCATATTTTTCCTGATGCTTGGTGCCAAGCTATTGTCCTCTCTCTAAACCTGGGAAGGATCCCAAGATTCCTTCTAATTATGATCCCATCACTTTGACTAGTTGTCTCTGTTAAGTTTTAGAGAGGATGATTAATACTCGTCTCGTTTGGTTCCTCGAATCAAACATGCTACTCTCACCTACCCAGTGTGGGTTCCATTGACAGCACTCCACCATGGACCATCTGAATCGACTTGAAACATCAATCAGGGAAGCCTTCCTCAAGAGAGAACACCTTGTTTCTGTGTTTTTTTATCTCGAGAAGGCTTATGACACGACATGGAGGTACGACATTTTGCAGGACCTCCACTCCTATGGGTTGCGTGGCCATTTACTCATTTTTATTCCGAACTTTTTACTGAATAGATGATTCCAAGTCTGTGTGGGTTGAACTCTTTCCTGTTCCTTTCCACAGGAACTTGGAGTCCCTAAGGGCTGTGTCTTAAGTGTCATACTTCTTAGTGTTAAAATTAATGCTATCACTACTCACCTTCCTCCAACTGTTGCAAATGGGCTCTATATCGACGACTTCCACATCTCTTGTCAGTTGTCGAACATGAGGTTTATTGAGTGGCAGCTTCAGACTGCCCTCAATCACTTGTTGACATGGGCCACTGCAAACAGTTTTACATTTTCTTTTTCCAAAACCGTTTGCATGCATTTTTGCTGCCACTGGGGTCTCCACCCCTATCCTGAGCTCTGTCTCACCAATATTGTTATTTGTGTGGTTCCTAAGGCAAAGTTCTTGGGGTTTATCTTTGACCATAAGCTTACCTTCATTCCACACATCAAGCAGCTACCTGTCAAGTGTGCAAGGGCTCTGAACATCCTCCATGTCCTCTCTTCCATCTCTTGGGGAGTGGATTGATGTTCTATGCTCAGGATCTAGCATGCCCTGATTCTATAAACTCGACTATGAGTCTTTGGTCTATGGTTCTGCCAGGACCTCAGCCTTGAAGATGCTGGACCCCATTCACCATCTGGGGCTTTGGGCTCTGAACCAGGGCTTTTCGCACTCATCCAGTCCAGAGTTTGTACATTGAGTCCCATGAACCTCCTCTTCACCTCCGTCATTTGCAACTTTCTCTACAATATGTACCAAGCTTCGATCCTTATCATGGCATCTCACCTGGGATTGTGTCTTTCTTCCTTGGTGGGCCATGCTCTTTCAGAACAGACAGTCTGCAATTCCTCCCTTTGGCCTTCGTATCCAGGCACAATTGGCTCAGTTGGGTTTGGCATTGGATGACATTGCTGTACTCAATGATCAGCCCATTCCCCCATGGCTTATTACCATCCCTGCCTGTGACCTTTCCTTTAGTCATCTGAGGAAGGTGGATACTCCCGATTGGAAGTACAGACTTCTTTTTGCATGGATGATTTGAAATTGGACGACTCTGTAGGCTCTGCCATGGTTTGCTGTGGCTCGGTAGTTGCTCGCAGGATCCCCTCTACAGTTTCTGTGTTCACTGCCGAGTTGTATGCTATTTCTCTTTCCCTGGATTATGTCGAAGCTATACAATACTGTGATTGTACTATTTACACTGATTCTCTTTAGCTCTCTACTGGCCCTGGAATCGCTTTATGTTAGTTTTCACCCTGTTCTCGTCGATATTCAACAATGACTGGCCCATTTTTCTCTATCTTCTGTTTCCATCTAGTTTTTCTGGATACCTGGCCACATCAGTATTCATGGGAACAAGCTTGCTGACATCGCAGCTAAGTCCGTCTGCTCTGGTGCCGTCTGTCACATACATGGACTATGGTCCTGTCTTCAAGGTACAGCTTTGTGCCAGTTGGCAGTTGACTTGGGGTGAGCAATGCCATAACAAGCTTTTTCAGATCAAACCCCCTGTTGCTCTCTGACCGTCTTTCTTCCGTAAGGATTGGAAGAAGAAAGTTATCCTGGCAAGACGATGCACTGGTCACAGTTTTTTAACTCATTGTTTTCTTTTATCTGGTATTAACCCACCGACGAGTAGCCTTTTTGACACACAAGTCACAATAGCCCACATTTTACTGTTGTGCTGTCGTTACGACTGTGAGTGGCGGCACTATTTTCGACACGTGTTTTGTCAGGGTTTACCCTTGACATTGGACAGTGTCATTGGTGATGGTGACACTGTCCAACTTGATTGTATTTTTAATTTTTTAAGAACAATTGGCCTTTTCAATTGTATATAGACCTTTTATCCAAATTTTGGACATATTTTGGTTTTAACTCACTTTACATTTTACTACAATTTACTTTTACTGTTTTTACCAGTTGTTTGGCACAGATAGTCTAGTTGCTTTGCAACATAAAACACCAAACAACTAACCAACATACAGCTAAATGAAAATGTTAAAGCAATTTTTTATTAATGAAAAATACAATTCATTACTGACACTGGGCTAATTAAATTTGTTTTTTTAAATTGACATCTACTATCTTCTTACTGCTTATTTATCAGCCTCAAAGTAGGCTTTCAGATATACCAAACCTATTTCAACAGAAATGTTTTACTTTCAGTTGTGCATCTTAATCTACCTGAAAAAATGTAATGCATTTTGGAAACAAAAATTTGTATCAGCAAACCTCTTACTACGATGATACTCATGATACTAATCAACATTTACTTTAAAGTTTATTTAAGTACAAGTTCCATGCAGCAACTATAATTAAAGCATGTGCAACATACCATTGGTTTTGTCAGATACTTCTTATATAGTGTTATCTACCTGGAGATCTTAAATATATGAAATAGACAGTGCTTATAATCATCATGGTGATATTTTGAAGGCTTATAATGTAACATTTAACATTACAAATAAATCTACAATCTTACATTTTACTATAGTCATTTTACTTCAGCTTATCCTGAAGAAGTACAAACTTTTATTTAATGTTACAACTAAAGCAAGTTCTATATATCCTTCAAATTGACAGTAAAAAACTCAAGCCACAAACAGAGTACTTAGAGTGTCTTGAAGGACTCCAGGGTGTCCCTTAATGTCACAAAAATTTTTTTTAATCCTACCTTCCTTCTCCATCTCGACAATTCGGACATGTACAGGCTACTCGGCGTATCCTGCGTGGGTACTCTGGAGTGTTGCTACCATCAGTGGAGGTAGAAGTTGAAGAAGTGGAGACTTGTTGTGCTTGTGTTGTGGACGGTTGAGGCTGAGTAGCAGAGCTTACAGGAGCTGCTGCTACTACTTGCCACTTGGTGGGATCACTAGGATCAGGCTGAAGTTGTTGAGCTACACCAAAAGGCAGAAATAGAAATATTATATATTATTTCTGTGCTTAAAAATATTGTGATTATTCTATGGTTATTTATTAAAAACACTCTAAATTCTTTTTAGTTTGTATATTTTGAAGATACAGAATACTACAGTTCAAGCCCTACATTATTTTTGAACAACTGTCACTGTAAAAACATAGATAAGAAAAGAATCTTATTCTAACCTTAATCCAGACAGAGCACAAAAGTTATTTCTAAGTTTTTGTTGTTACGATTAGTATTTATTTGTTTGTTTTTAAGTGCAAAGCTAAAAAATGGGCTATCTGTGCCATGCCAACTTCATATATCAAAACCCAATTTTTAGTATTATAAGTTCTCAGATTTACCACTGAGCCACTGAAGGGTATATGATTAAAATAATTGCTATAGTGACAGCATAAATTGACTTCAATGAGTTGTTTTCTGTATGATGACTAAGGTGTTTGAGCAAAACATGGTGATGGTAAGAAATGAAAAAAAAAAGTAAACCAATTATAATACATGTTAATCTGTATTTTAACCAAAATATTTAGTTTAAAAAATTCGAGATAGTTGGCTATATCAGTATGGGCATCCACGGAAAATGAGAAACATAATTCTTTCTTTATTCATTCAGCATATGTATACAAGTTTTTTAATTCACTTTACAATTTCACACAACTTTGCCCTCCCTCTCCCGATAAATTTCTGTGGATGCCCATGTATACCAGTTGTTACACTCAACAATTACACATCTGAATCTGTGTTTAAAATTAACTACAACACACCTACATTAATTACTACAACCAACTATTATACATTTGAGTTTGCTTTAACTTCTAATCATTACACGACTACTTCCAAATACATTCAATAATTTATTTACCAACATCCATTTGTACATCCAAATATCTTGCACATACATTTGTTGCCTAGTATACTTGAACATGCTCTGATCAAAATTAAGATTAATTTAAATCTCTTGTCAAATGCTATTATATCTAATCATTTTATTCCAACCATTTCTCACCTAGATCTATAATTATATCCAACTATTATACATCTCTGTTCTTTGTTTCAAATTCAGGCTAACCATTATACATCTCTTTTTACATTCAACTATATACCTGTATATGCTGTTAAATCTAACAAACAATCTTATATTCATGACTTTGTTAAACCATAATACACAGAGATTTTTGTCACCTACATTTGTTACATCTAACCGCTATACAACTAAATATTTTGTTTACATTTGTTATTAACTACCTGTGTATCACTTTCTAGTTACTAAGTGACAATTACACAAGTTACATCCACTAACTTACCAATAACTTGAGTTCCTCCAATTGTTTGTAATGCATGCATTGGACTCATTGGACCAGTCATTTGAGACTGTCCACCCGTCTGGGCATGTGGGGTAGCAATGACACTTCCATTAGGAGAGATGCTCAGGTACTGACCTTGTTGCCCTTGAAGCTGAACATTCTGGATCCCACCCATTGCTGGGATTCCCTGAACCTAAAAAAAAAAGATGGAATGAGGCTTGCATAAAAATAATATAATATGTAATTCTGCAAACAAATGTCATTAGAAAATAAATAAACCTGATAAAAGATTCAAGTTTATTCTTATTGAGAAATTTCTAAAGTGTTCCAAGATTTTTAAAAACAACTGATGATATACCTTTAATACAAATAAAAAATATTATGACTCAGCTATTATTATAATGGTACAGGACAAAGAACTTGCAAAATTAAAAACATCAACTAAAATTTTTAATATCCTTTTTTAATACAATATTTTCTTCAAGGCTATAAATTATTGTTTTTTTGTTACCACAGAACTATTTAAAAACGTTTTTGTCCAGAAAATTATCATAAAATTATACAATTGGAAGCTCAATTTGTAATCAGTCTTCCTGTATAATACTTTGTTTACTTTTTACAATTAATAGGCAGTGTTTTTTTTTAGGGATGCATAGAGTTAGTTCTTTTTCTGGGAGAGGTTAGAAAAAATTACCACTTTCATGTCAATAGGAGTCATAATGCAAAGAATTTAAAATAGACATAAAATTTTGGAAACTCTACTAATACTGATCCTCGCTTAACTATATAAACATTAGTTTAAAGTCACAAGTTATGTTCTCTATTCTAAACAGCTGTTTCACTCCATTTATAACTACTAACAAAACACTCATCATATGATACAAGCTCATCCTAATTCAGTGAAAAAATATTTTTTTATCTGGCTTTTTAATTGTTATCCAACACAATACTGATCCTCACTTAACTGTATAAACATTAGTTTAAAATCACAAGTTATGTTCTCTATTCTTAAAAGCTGTTTCATTCCATTTATAATTACTTACATATGTGTTTCAAAACACTCCTCGCATTATACAAGCTTATCCTAATTCAGTGAAAAAATTTTTTCATCTGGCTTTTTAATTGTTATTCAATACAGTCCATTGTGATGAAAATTTACAGAAAATGATATATGACATATTTCATATGCAGCTTGATCAGTTTTTTTTTCCAGTTAAAAATGTAAAACACAAAATAATAAAGATATAAAGCAAAAATCACTCAAATCAATGGGTTTAAAAATTACTTTGTTATAGGTAAAGAATGCCTGCTGATATATAACACACAATGATTAAACAATTAAGAAAACTTCAGTATATACTCACTGTACAAATAAATATATTTATAAATATAGGAGTTATGATTTACAGATCTGAACTAAAGCTAACTAAGTTGCATTACTGTAATGTATTTTTTGATAAAATACAATTAAAAACTATCATATATAAACAATGTCAATACAAAACAAAATATTAAATATATGACAATAAACAGTCCTCGATCTTGCTTTTGAAGGCACTTGAAAATAGTTATTAGTTTTCTTTATTTTACTAGCAAATTAAGGACTGCTACTAGCAACAACATTCTTCTTCTTCTTTAAAATAAATTGTAACTGTGTCATAATTAATTATTTTATATATTAAATGTCAATAAATATGTATATATCCTAATATCAAACTTATTTTAATTACATGTTAAGTGTTTTTATTTTAACTGTTTCACAAATGTTAAATGATGCTCAATTTAAACAGAAACTGGTGTATCTAGGCCATGAGTGTTTTGACTGACAGTATACAGTACCCTACTGCTGATGGCCATTCTATTAAGTATTAAGGCTTAAATGTTGAAAACTGGCAAACCATTAAAAGCCAAAAGAACTGACATAGTATTGGGCATAGTATTTCTAAATATGATGCAGAAAAAAAACAACATGGCATTGGCAAGTAAATTAATCTTGTTATTGACAATTGTAGTAGCATTCTATACTCAGAATCTTGCAATATAAATTATTGATATGCATGTATCATGATTGTATTGATACTTGAGAATAAGAATTTGCAAATGTTCATTCCGAATTGTGTATTAACAATTTTTTTTATTTGCCTTCTAAGTTTTATCTGCTAAACTGTAACACTAACCAACAATTTGCTAGTTTGCTAGCATTAATATCAAGCCCTGACTAATTCAGTTTTTAATCTTAATTCTTTAATAACAATTACTGTAATTCATGGTAGAGAATCTTATCTTAGGCAGCAATCAAAGTTGACACTATAAGAAGTTTCGTATTACAAGTAAAAGAAATACATTCATGATCAGTTTCTCCATTACAAGTCTAGTGTAATGTGACATTTAGCAACACATGATCCTTTATTGGTTTCTGTGTCTCTAAGTAATTAGCTAACAAGCTACAAGAGAGATCTTTCTTTAAAAGAAAAGATTCATACCATTTAGGGTAACATAAAAATATTTAAAATGATTAACTTAACCTTTTACCAACTTTTTATTGGACATGAATAACAGCAAATACTTTTACTCAAAAAATTGCACATCCTCATTAACAATGTTGATATTTTCTTTCTACATTTTTATTTTGTGTAAGTTCTGCTTAATGAACCAGTAAAGTGCAAATTAAAAGGAAAAATGCATATCAAATAAGCATTAATTAGAAAAAAGAATAAACAATGAATTCTTGCACTGAAAATAAAAAAGATTAAATAAAAAAGAACAGTAATGTTCAAATATTGGCTAAAATTAGTATTAAAATTATCAATATAGCTAAAACATTTTTTCAATTCATTTTTTAAAGCAAAATTCCATCAGAAATTTAGCATAACCTTATTTTATGCAACTTAAGTGAATGAAGTCACTATTGAACTAGTCCAATACAAAAAATATCAAACTAATAAAATTGTCTCATATCTTATATGAATAAGTTTGGAGATCAGGAAACAGCAACATGATATTTGGATATAAATAAAGGACAATAAAATTAGGAGTTGTATAATTTCTAGTAATCTAACTTGTTTCTGTAACTTGTATGGTTACAACAATGTTGTTATTTTAGCTACTGTAGAGGTAAAATTAAAATTTAAGCTGGAGAAAAGGCTAAGTCTCCTATAATGTAGAATAGTAATTGAATTTCTTTATCTATCTAAATTAATAACAAGAAATTACCCAACTAGATGCTGTTAGTAACAATATGCCAAGTGATAATACAAGCTAATACACAGCACATGATTTTCTATCTTCCAATGTCAAGGCCCCCCCCCCAGTAGCACAGCGATATGTCTGCGGACTTACAATGCTAGAATCTGGGTTATGATACCCATGGTGGGCAGAGCACAGATAGCCCATTGTGTAGCTTTGTGCTTAATTACAAACAAACAATCCAATGCCAAGATTCTAGTTTATTCATATATGAATATTTCTAATACATAATAAAATGAAGCCATTTTTTAATGATAAATAAGACAAGAAGAATATCAACAAAAAAGTAAAAAACGTGTTACACAGTGTAGAAAACCATCCAGACTTAAGAATGCGCATTACAAGTCATGTGAAGAATATATAAAAAAAGGAGAGAGAGAGAGACCGAAATATATTTTATGCAGTTTTTAAAAGTTGCAAAGCAGACTAGAGGATTAAAATACAGAGTTTAAAACAAGAAAAACCACTGCAAGATATCCAATTTCAACATAGAAGACTTAGGGTTATTCCTTATACATGCAGGTAGGGGCACCATGATCACAGCAGAGAATAACAAGCGGCTTATTACTACGTACAGTAAACCTTTGATTCGATATTTTAAATCATGCCACTCATTTCATACTAAAATGTGGTATTATCCTTGGATAACATAAAAGCATAGAAATAACTTGGAACAGAAATAACAGTAAAACACTGCTACAAATTATCTTAAGAAACTCCTCCTTTGTAATGGTTAACCTTACAATTATATTTCTAAGAGTCTTACAATAATTTGTTTAAAAAACATAAGAAAAAACAATTTAGAATCTGATAATGCTACCTCTAACAAACTGCTTCTGCAAAATTTAATTTATATTTCAAATTAAGATTTATTATGTAGATGCATGTATATATACCCTATATAGTGACATATATAAAGGTATATGTATATACTTAAGTTTGATTTTAATTTTCAGTTTAACACTCACTTCTGTTTCTCTTGTTTAAACAATTAAGACATTTTCACATTATTATTATTATGAAATGTAATTTGATATGTTGTGAAATTTTGACTGTTAAGCAATCCTATGTATTGTTGTTATGTGTTCTTTTCAATTATGATTGATAATTCAAAACTTAATTTCTAATTTTGTCTACAATGCTGTAACCCTTGAGAAAGGCATATCCAAAATGTTGGATTTTATAATAAAAATCATCCATTTCTGGAGTTTGATTAGTTGTTATTTGATTAAACCAAATACATGTGTGCTAATTCTAAAAATCAATGGTTTAGTGCTGGAGCCCTCCCAAAATTTGTCATATGTGTGACATCACAATTAAAGATTTAATATTCAAAACCTAATTTCCATTTTTGGGAGTCCATTTTAAATTAAAATATATGCATCACTAATTTCTTGAGACTACTTACATTAGTAATAAATTGAATAAAAAAATAACTGGGTACCACATAAAAAATCACTAACATCTAAAAAAATTTTCAAAATGCATATTTTATTAATTTACTACATTTCTAACTGCACTACAATATTATGAACTTTGACTTTTATAATGCTTTGCACACCTCCTGTTTTGCCAACATGAATAACTAAAAGAAAAAAAAGTGTATTTCATTGAATATTATGTAAACAATAATTTTTTTGAAAATATGTAAATCTTAAACACATGGCTTATCTGTAACATATATTTTTTATGTGTTTTAGTACCATTTCTGTTTTGACACCTGTTCTTTAGCTGGAGCAGTTGTTCAATGCCTGACACCGGATCCTGAGAGAGACTGACAGAGTACATGTTGGATGATCTGAGAGAGCTCTATCAATGGGCTCAGGATCACAAACACCAAGAGTGTTCTGTAACACTGAGAGTTTGTCAACGAAAGATGTTTAATTTTGAAGGTAAACTTAATAACTGATATATATACATATGTTTAGTTTTGGAAGTGTCAGGTGC